GAAGGCGTACGCTGGATGCAATACGCAGCGCCGGAACTGATTTTATCGGAAATAGTTTGTACCAAGTTCGGAGTATGGGCGACGCGACAGGAATGCCCGATGAAAGCTGACGTGTGGTCGCTGGGAGTGCTGCTCTTCGCGCTTCTCTCGTCGTCCGTCCCTTTTTCGAGCCCTCAAAAGATTATCCGCCAACTTGCGCGAGCGCGGGATTATTCAAAACGGCTCGTGCTTCCCTGCGGAAGTGTCGATGTTCTTAACGAGGAGGCTGATGACGCGGACACGATCCTGAGCTTCGGTGGCGAGATTCAGGGGGGAACAAACGTGTGGCTGCGAGTTTCGGCGGAAGCTAAAGATTTGATTCGAGGGATGCTGGAAATTGAGCCTGCCGCCCGCCTGTCCATAAACGACGTCGTTAGCCACCCGTGGCTGAACGCGAAGGATTCTGAGCGAGGGGGACCAGTGAAGTGCGCTGGTGGTTTGGGTGGTGTCTGCGAAACGGACGCTGGCGGCGACGAATTCGTTGAGCTGAACGATATCGGCGAGAAAAAAGGCAGCTGTGACGCCGGATCATGCGATTTTCCGCCACCGCTGCGACGGAGGAACACTTCAGGCGATTTTCCGCCACCTCTGCCACGGAGAAACAACACTTCATGCGATTTTGCGCCGCCGCTGCGACGGAGGAGCACTTTCTCCTCGTCTTCGGGCCGGTCTTGCAGCACGCCGATTGGCTCTCGTGTGGCTGATTCGGCTGAACGAAAGCGCGAGCACAGAAGGACGAACTCAGTTTTCACAGCATCTGCTACTGTCAACTCCCCCTTCGTTACAAGCACAACCCCCAAGGGCATGAGGGGTAAAGAGCTCTTGATACGCACAATTAGCCGGAGCATTGGGAACCTCGCGGAACTGACGAGTCTCGCAAATGGTAACCGTTGCAGCAATACTCCTGGTGCCGTCAGCTACAGTGAAAACAACCCAGAGGATAATATCGGCAGCAGCAGCAGCAGCGAGACTGAGGCAGAAGCAGCTGATGGCCATGACATGGAAAGCTTCCTATCACCTTCCTCAACATCACTTCAAGATGAGGATCCACAGGAGCAGGCAGAGGCAAGAGCGATTGGCTGTGAAGCACGAGCAGCAGGGTACAGTTTTTCCTTTCAAACACGTGAGGGGCTAGGAGCAAGAGAGGAAGTGATTTCTCTCGGTCCAATAAGAGGCCTCCGCCACAGAAGCATCCAAACCAATGAAAGGGGGGAACGGGTTATCGGCGACAAAAAGGGCAGCTGTGATTCTCGGACCGAATCTTGCGATTCTCCGCCACTGCTGCGACGGAGGAGCACTTTTTCCGCGTCTTCGGACCAGTCTTGCAGCACGCCGATTGGCTCTCGTGTGGTTGATTCGGCTGAACTAAAGCGCGGCACAAGCGCTGGCCTTAAGAGGATGGGAGGTGGAAAGCTCGTGCGCGCGATCAGCCGAAGCATTGGAAGCCTCGCAGATCTGAGCGAGATGATGGGCGAAAAGAATGACAGCTGGAACGCCGGGAAGGGCAAAGGCAGCAGCAGTCACACTCGGGCAGGCGAATCTTTCAACCCTCCACCTCCTCTGCGACGGAGGAGCACTTTTTTCTTGCCTTCGGACCGGTCTAGGGGCACACCGATTGGCTCTCGCATGGTTGATTCGGCTGAACGAAAGCGCGAGCACAAAAGGTCAAACTCAGATTTCGCAGCATCCGCTACTGTCAACTCCTCCGACTGCGTTACAAGCGCCGGTCCCAAGAGCATGAGAGGTCGAAAGCTCTTGATGCGAATAATCAGCCGAAGCATTGGGAGCCTCGCGGATCTGAGGAGTCTCACAGCTGGTAACCGTAACAATTGTGCTAATGGTGCTGTCAGCTACAGTGAATGCAACACAGACGACAATATTGGCAGCAGCAGCACGTCTGAGGAGGAAGCTGCAGAGACGAGCGCGACTGAGGCTGAAGCAGGAGCAGCAGAGTACATATTTTCCTTTCAACCACCTGAGGGGCTAGGAGCAGAAGAGGAAGTGCTTGCGTTCGGTCCAATCAGAGGTCTCCGTCACAGAAGCAGCCAAACCAAGGGTGAGGAAGTACTTGGTAGGGCCCACACCACTGCTGCAGATGCTGCTGCAGGTGCTGCTGCTGGTGCTGCCGCAGGTGCTGCTGCTGGTGCTGCTGCTGGTGCCGCTGCTGGTGCCGCTGCTGGTGCTGCTGCTGGTGCTGCTGCTGGTGCTGTTGCTGGTGCTGCTGCTGGTGCTGTTGCTGGTGCTGCTGCTTCAGTGCATACTACTTTTGTGGGTGATTCAAGCCATTGTATGGACTGTACTGCTGCCCATCCCATTAAGGCCTTGGAGGGAAGTTGCTGTGATGTTTCCCACATGCCCTCACACCCTGCTGCTACATCTGCCATGCCTCATTCCCCCCCCGCTACAGCCTTTTCCGTTCCTTCCACTCACTCATGTGAACGTGCTGCTGTTGCTGTTGCTGCTGCTACTGTCACTGCTGGTACAACCAAATCTGTCAGAGCATGGGGGAGGAGTTACACAGATACAAGACACAGATTCCCACACACTCTCCAGTCAGCCTACCCCTTTCGCTCCCCTCAGCCTTCCTTCTGCCCTCCTGCTTCTCCTGCTGGTGGTGCTGGTGGTAACCCTACGCCTGGTCACACCAGCAGTGGTGGTGAAAGCGCCGGCCCCAAGAGCATGAGAGGTCGAAAGCTCTTGATGCGCACCATCAGCCGAAGCTTTGGCAACCTGGCAGATCTGATGAGCCTCGGAAATAGTAACCGTTACAGCAGTGCTCCTGGTGCTGTCAGCTACAGTGAATGGGACATGAATTCTGTCAGCTATAGTGAAAACAACGCAGATGGCAATGTTGGCAGCAGCACAACTGAGGTGGAAGCAGCAGATGGTCATGACTGGGAAAGCTTCTTATCACCTTTCTCACCATCACTTCAAGCTGAGAATTCAGAGGAGCAGGCAGAGGCAAGAGCAATTGAGTCTGAAGCTGAAGCAGCATGGTACAGATTTCCCTTTCAAAGACATGAGGGGCTAAGAGCAGGAGAGGAAGTGATCTCGCTCGGTCCAATAAGAGGTCTCCGACACAGAAGCATCCAAACCATTTGCGGGAATACACCTGGTAGGGTCTGCACCACTGCTGTCTGTGCTGCCGGTGCTGCCAATGCTGCTTCAGTGCATACTGCTGGTACAACCAAAACTGCCAGAGCATGGGGGAGGAGCTACACAGATACAAGGCACAAATCCCCACACACTCTCCAGTCAACCTACCCCTTCCTCTCCCCCCAGCCTTCCTTCTGCTCTCCTAATTCTCCTGCTTGCGAGCCTAGTCCTGGTCACCACAGCAGTGGTGGCGAAAGCGATGGGAGGACCAGCAGTGGGGGTAAATCGGATAAGTTTTATTTGCCGGTTACCGCGTCTTCTAGTGGCAGTAGCAACAGGAGCAGCAGCAGCGGCGGCAGTAGTATGGGCAGCAAAGGCTCGCTTATACTTGCACACGGAGTCAAGCAGAAGGTGCATGACGATACCGAGAAGGATCTGATAAAGAGGCTGTCCGGGTTTACGCATGAGATTCATGGGAGATTGTGGTCAAGAGGAGATGATAAGGAGTGGCTTGAGCAGAAGCACAGTGAGGAACAGCAGCACAAGAGACAGCAGAATAAGAGCGGGGGGAGGTCTCCCTTGTTTGGTAAATTCACTCGGTCCAAGACAACTTGTAACTTCTGAAGTGGGTAGAAGCAGCACGACGAGCAACAGCACTGTAAGCAGCAGCAGAAGCTCAGCCAGGGGCGGTATTCCTTGCTCAGCAAGTTCCACTTGGTTCAGTGACTAGAAAATGCACTTTTCTTGGCATGTATTCAGTAGGTAACTTCCTGATGTGTTGGTCAGAGGCAATGTTTGGCGTATTATTTTTGTGCGGGGTTGATGTGTTTTTTTTGCTAGTGTAACCCCCATATCTAACACACCCTGGAAAAGGAAGACCCAATACCCAAGAGCATTATTGCTAACAATGGCTCACGCTACATTTTGAGTTGTGAGACTTGAACTGAGAAGACACACTTGTGTGACATCAACGTCAAAAGTGATTTTATACTCCTGTGTTTAGCGGATTGGTCTGTAGGAAACTTGGGCAACCCACAAGATTTTGTTGTTTCGCCGATCGTCCCTGCGATTGACGTATGGCTGCTCTGATTAGTGAACCCAGCCCCTACCAGTTACCACCTGTCAGGGAATTTAGGGCGATGCGTTTGACGCCTGGCGAGGCGAAGATCTGACGGTGAGAAGTCAAGGAGAGGGGGTGGCGTCCACCATTCACCACCCACATTGGCGGCCCGCCAAGTCCGATTTTGCTGGTAAGGGGAGGGTGTTCTCAAATATCCGTCCAATGTGTTGCGAGGCGTGATTCGGGCAGCTTTCTTTTTGTGGCTGATAATTATGGGACCTGTGTTTGCCTAGCCTGTTTCTTTGTTAGAATTACAATTCGTGAAAGCATATCTTCCGTGAAGGAAACAAATGTACGGGCAGGAGAGTAACATGGCAGAATATAGATTGAAGTTCTGGTTGGGTCAAGTTGCGTGTCAGATCATGCATCAGCGGAACATACGGTGACGGTGGCTGCGGTGAGTTTCGGTGCGGTGACGATAATTTAGGTGCGTTTTGGTAGGGTGCTTGACTTCCCACCACCATGCTTCCCGCCACGATGGGCACTGACGGCCTCAGATTGGATTTGAGCGCACTACTCCCATCCCAATATGTGTGAATCTCCACATTTACCTAGAAATAGTCCACATGCCATGGCTTCCCATAGCCATGAAAAGTCCTTCGACTGTATCTCGCCTTGGAAACAGCCAATCCAAGGTAAAGCAGATGACTCGCCGCTTCTCTAATACCTACATTGTTTCTCCGTTTAGTACTTGAGAACTGGACGTGGTCTAGTGGATTGGTCCGATTCGTTAAAGTTGCCTAAGATGCGGGGACAGCCGGTTGCGACCTCGGTCCTTCTACGGCCAAGTCGAATTCCTGACGACCTCTTATTCCTGCGAATTGTCGGCCAGGGTCGCCATGCGACAGTCTGGTTGTGCGAGGACGGTCGCACAGGCGAGCAGATCGCCTGCAAGAAGATCCTCAAATCGACGCTCAGAAGCTCCAGCAAAAAAGTAGCCGAAGCTTGCGACAACTCGCCTGCGACCAGCGCGGCTTCGCTACAACCATCGCATGACGACGTCCGCCGCGAGGTGTCTGTAGTAGAGGGTCTTTCCGGGAAGCACCCCAACGTTCTCACGTTCAAAGGAGCCTTCGAGGATGCCGACGCGGTGCATCTAACCTCGGAATTCTGCGACTCGGGTGACTTGCTAACCTACATTGTCGAATCCGCGAAACGAGACGGCGCACGCGCTCCGGACGTGTACAATCTCGCCGGCTATGGCGGCAGCTCTGCTTCCTGCGATGATGGAGCTGCTTTTGGTTCAACCGCCCGCAGCAACCGCGGAGTTTCTCGCAGCATTTCGCGAACCCTGAGTTTTCAACGTGGTAAATCCGACCGCAAGCTGCACGCGACACCTGGCAATGGCGACGCCGTCTCCCGCGGCGTTTCTGGCGGAAGCGGCGGCGGCGGTTGGGGAGGACACCGCGCCTGGGCTCTTCCCGAACCCGAAGCGCGAGCGATTTTCCGTCAAGTGGCGGCGGCAGTCCAGTTCTGCCACCAGAGCGGCGTCGCGCACGGAGATATCCGCCTCGAGAACGTCCTCCTGAGCTCGCACCGATTCGCGGCCCCCTGGGCGGCGGGATCGCGCAGATCGCGCGCGCGCTCCCTTTCAACCATTTGTTCCGCGTACCCGCACGGGTGCGCTTCCGAAGCGTTTGAGGCAAGCAGTAGTGGTTTCGCCGGGAACGGATTAGTATCGCCGCGCGCCGCGCCACATGGCGGTTGCGCTGCCGTGTTCGCGAAGCTCGCGGATTTCGGGAGTGCGGAGAGGGTGGCTGTGCTCCCGGCTGTGGCGGATGCGGCTGCTGATGACGTGGCAGCGGCGGATGGCAGTGGAGATGTGGCGTCAGTAGAAACGCGGGTACGCGACGCTGTGAAAAGGGGGAGCTTCGGGGGGAAGTCAAGGTTCGGGGGGGGAGAATGCTTACGCTGGATGCAATACGCGGCGCCGGAGCTGATTTTATCGGAGAAAGAGTCTACCAAGTCCGGAGTAGTCGCGACGGCGCGAAAGGAATGCCCGATGAAAGCTGACGTGTGGTCGCTGGGAGTGGTGATCTTCGCGCTTCTGTCTTCGTCCGCCCCCTTTTCGGGTCCCCATGCGCGGAAGATCATCCGCCAGATTGCGGAAGCTCGAAATCATTTAGAGCGGCTCATGTTTCCTTCTGAAATCGGAGAGACTCTTAGCGAGATTCAGCAGGGATCCAACGTGTGGCTGCGAGTCTCGGCGGATGCCAAAGATTTGATTCTCGGCATGCTGGAGATTGAGCCTGCTGCCCGCTTTTCGATTATCGACGTCGTTAACCACCCATGGCTGAACGCGAAGGATACTGGGCGACGGGGAATCCGCGGATCCATGAAGTGCGCTGGTGGGCTGGGTCGCGTACGCGAGGTGGACGCTGGCGGCGATGAACCCGCGGAGATGAGCGGGATCGGCGATAAAATAGGCAGCTGTAACGGCGGGAGGGTCCGAGGCAGCAGTAGTCTCACTCGGGCAGACTTTGTGCCTCTGCTGCAGCGGAGGAACACTTTTTCCGCGACTTCGGACCGGTGCAATCTGAGTGGCTCGCGTGTGGTAGATTCGGCTGAACGAAAAAAGGGCGAGCACAAAAGGGGGAGCTCAATTTCCATGCAATCCGCTACTGTCAACCCCCCCTGCGTTACAAGCGCCGGCCGCATGAGACCTGGAAAGCTCTTGATGCGCGCAATCAGCCGAAGCATTGGGAACCTCGCGGAATTGAGGAGTCTCGCAACTGGTAACCGTTACAGAAGTACCCCTGGTGCTGTCAGGTACAGTGAATGGGACACCAATTCTGTCTGCTACAGTGAAAACAACACGGAAAATAATATTGGCAGCGGCAGCAGCACGTATGAGGGAGAAGCAGCAGATCTTTGTGAGCTGGGAAGCTTCCCATCACCTCCTTCACCACCACTTCAAGATGAGCACACAGAGGAGCAGGCAGAGGAGCAGGCAGATGCGAGCACGACTGAGGCAGACCCAGGAGCAGCAAAATACAGATTCTCCCTTCAAACACCTGAAGGGCTGGGGCCAGGACAGGGAGTGACTGCGCTCGGTCCCATACGAGGTCTCCGACACAGAAGCAGCCAAACCAAGGGTGGGAAACTACCTGGTAGGGCCCACAACGCTGCTGCTGCAGATGCTGCTGCTTCAGTGCATACTCCCGGTGTTTCTGGCCACTGTGTGGACTGTACTGCTGCCCACCCATCCAGAGCCTTGGAGGCAAATCTATGTGATGCTTTCCACAGATCTTCACACCCTGCTGCTACGTCTGCCACCTCTCATTCTGTCACCGCCACATCCTTAGCCATTTCTTCCACTGACTTATTTGAACATGCCGCCACCGCCGCCACCGCCGCCGCCGCTGCTGCTGCTGCTGCTGCTGGTTCAGCCACTTCCGCCAGCGAATGGGGAAGGAGTTACACACACACAGGGCACAAATCCTCGCTCACTCTTCAGCCAGCCCACCCCTCCCTCTCCCACCCCCTTTCCGTTTGCTCTCCTGGTTCTCCTGCTGGTGGTGCTGGTGCTCAACCTAGTCCCTTGGGTAACCCTAGTCCCGGTCACAGCAGCAGTGGTGGTGAAAGTGATGGTGACACCAGCAGTGAGAGTAGAACGGATGGGTTTCATTTGCCGATCATTGCATCTTCTAGTGGCAGCAGTGACAGGAGCGGCAGCAGTGACAGGAGCGGCAGCAGTGGCAGCAGCGGCGGCAGCAGCTTGGACAGCAAAGGCTTGCTTATATGCGCACATTGGGACCAGGTGCAGGTGTGTGGCAGTAAGGAGAAGGGTCCAAAAAATTGTCGGTCCAGGTCAGGACGTGTGACTGATGAGGGAGTGCAGTTTCAAGGTGGTGACATGAAGGGATGGCTTCAGCAGCAGTGCAATCGACAGCAGCATGATACACAACAGCGGAAGCAGAGCGAGAAGAAGCAGACTTTCTTCAGTAATTTCAATCGGTCCAAGACCATGCTATAAGCAAGTGACATACAATGCTAACAGTGGGATTGTTATTGCGTGGTTGCTCTTACGGTACCGGTATGTGGATTTCTGTGGGTTGTTCATGAGCATGCAACGAATGCTGTAGCACCTTGACTAAAAAGGTCCAACAACACCTAAAAGAGCTGTAGTTCAGGCCACACTCTAATAAGTCCATACTCTCATTATATTGACATATCTTTAAGCGTATCCATTACTTTCAGGTCCAACACTCTGTAAGGTAAATTCCTTTTTCCTTACTTCGCATCCCTGCTCAATGCGCACACCACTATTCCCGCCAACAGCTCCAAACAGTGCACCGTTACTACTAGCGACACTCGCCTCGACTACTGTTCCCGCCACTGTTCACGACGTGGCCCAACCTCACGGTTCGGCAAGTAACCCGCGCTCCGGACCTCCGCCTCGACAATTCCCAACCTCGGCGCTAGGCCCGTAGCCCACCCAAATGTTCGCGTTACCCTTACCATGCTTGCTTCACTATACAATCATGGCACATCCCTTTGCTCGATGTATTGTTTTTTGCCTCGATAGTGCAATTCTCGCTCGCTCGCTCAATTGCACTCGTAACACTTGGTATTCAGAGCCTACGATCTCTTCTCGGACCGCACCCACACCTTCGCTTCCCCACTATCTCAATTTTTGGAGGAGGTAAACGTCCCTCAGCGCCCAAGCACCGCCGCTCGAAGTGCTCTCTCTGAAGCACGCACGGCCACGACTAAGGCTCTCGCTGAGCTTGCAGGACACCCCCTCCATGGCCGAATTCAATCTTGCGACACTGACGCAGGAACGCCTCGATGAACCCGTGCGCCAAATCGAGGAATCGGCGAACGAAATCGCGACACCCACGACGGAACGCGACTCCGCCCGACAGCAATCAACGACGAATGCACCAGCAGAAGCACAGACACCCGCGAATGCACCTGTGCAATGGGATGAGCCGATTGTCATCTCGTCCGGCACACCGTCACTTCACAACATTGTGGGACCGCGCTCAGGTGCAGCCAGTGATGGCGTCGCCCAATCAATGCCTGGCATGGAGAGAACCAGGGCCGTTCCGACCATGAATGCACCTCGTGAAGCCCGTCGCCACGTCGGATTTGCGGCATTTGCGGGGCAACAACGACGTTTGCGAGCTAATGCCGCTCAAGCCGCAACGCCTGCCCTGTTTCGACCCTAGCCAATGCGGAGGTCCGACGGTTCAATCGTGGGTCTTCACGATGAACGTATTTTTTTATGCCAATTACGTCTCGTCGGACGCAGCGAAGATACGTTATGCAGTTTTGTTGCTGCGGGGCCCCGCCATGGACTGGTGGCGAGTCATCGTGACGTCGCCACGCGCCTACGAGCCGCCGTCGCAAGAGGAAGGGCCAACGGGACTAGCTGTCACATGGAGTTCGTTCTGCGAAACTGCCCATGACAGCACGTGGGATGCGTGGTGGACATGGCTTCGGGCGCGCTTCGAGCCGATCGCGGCTTCTATTTCGGCGCGTCAGAAACTACGCACTTGGTGGCAACTCGGGTCGGTTCAAGACTACACCAGCGGTTTTCTCGCACTATGTGAGCAATTCGGCTACATGCACGAGGCGGAGCGAGTGGATCGTTACGTCAGTGGGCTGAAGCTGGACATCTCTCACGAAATCATGCTTCGTGGGCTTCCCAACTTCAACGAAATCCTCGCGCTCGCCGAGAAAATCGACATTCTACGCCGTCCGAGACCGGGGTTCTGCTACGGACATCGCCCTCGGGGACTGACCGAGCACGCCACTGTACACGGTTTTGCGGCGAGCGCAGCTGCCGCGCCATTTAAGGGGCGCTGCTTTGCTTGCAACAGGCCGGGCCATCGCAAGAGCGAATGCCCAGAGGAGCTAAGGCGTCGTGGAGCAAAGCAGGGGAGGGAGTCTGGGAGGCAGGGAAATGCCAACAGTCAGTAGAGATTGGGCCCACTACTGACGAGACTCACTGCTCGCCCAACCGCACCGACCCTCACCGAGTCACAGTACCAATTGATGCCATCGATCGGGCTCGGATCGATAAGGAGGGTACAACGACGGATTGCCCAATACTGATTCACGGGAAAATACAGGGGGTAGCAGTGAAGATCTTTATAGACGGAGGAGAAAGTCACAGCTTAGTTAATACCACGACTGCACGGAAACTACAACATACACTTAGCTACTGCTTTCCAGAGATCGACACACGCTTAGTTGACGGCACGCCGCTGGCTTTACAGGAAAAGATGGAGAGAGTAAAAGTCCGCTGCGGAGGGAACTTCGGGCTTACACAGGAAATGCTCGCGATAACATTGGATGGGCACGACATTTTACTGGGACGTGATTGGCTGCGACGCTACAACCCGCGAATTGACTGGACGACGGGTACCTGCACTGTGCGAAGTAATAATAACTGGGTTGAACAACCTCGTTGGCAGTCGCCTGAGTCTTCAACGGTCCACGTCAACACCATCACGATGAAACGGGGTGTCGCCGCTGGAGCTAACGTGTACGCTGTGGATATCGCATTGGTAGGAGAAGTAGAGCAGCCGAGTGATTTTCAAAAAATCCACGGCAGCCGTACCGCCCGAACTACAGGAATTACTGAAACGATACCCTGGGATTTTTTCCCAACGATTTATTGTAGGGGCTGCTACCTGAGCGTGCACACGACCACCGCATAGAGCTAGAGCCGGGGGCAAAACCAACCGTACAACGATAGTTCAGACTGACACAGCCCGAACTCGATGAACTGAGGAAGCAGTTAGATTACCTGTTAGAGAAGCAGTTCATCCGACCGAGCTCGTCACCGTTCGCCGCACCGATACTGTTCTCACCGAAAAAAGACGGAGGTTTTGGCATGTGTATCGATTACCGTGCACTGAACCGAGTAACCATCAAGTCGCGATACCCCATTTCCCGCGCTGACGAACTGATAGACCAACTGCGAATAGCCCGCGTGTTTTTGAAGATAGACTTACGAGGTGACGATGGACTTCGTCACGGGGTTACCGGCTGGCGCAAGTGGGAATGACGCGATCCTGGTCGTCGTTGATCGGCTGACGAAGATGGCATATCTCGCAGCCTGCAAGAAGTCAATCTTCACCGTCGTTCGACTACACGGGATACAATCAGCAATCATCAGCGACCGCGACACGAAATTCACCAGCAACTTCTGGCGGAACCTGTGGCAGCAGTTCGGCACTAAACTATAGTTCAGCTCATCGTACCACCCCGAAATTGACGGACATTCAGAACGGACAAACCAGACCATGGAACAATTAATCCGAGCCACGTGCGATGACTCAACCACGTGGGAAAAACAACTGCCACTCATCGAATTCGGGTACAACAACTCCCCATTGGCCACGATCCAATAGTCGTCATCCTACCTGAACTACGGACAAGACCCCACAGTACCCATGACCCCAAATCCCGACAACACGGTACCACGCGCCCAACAGTTTGCATAAATTTTACAGGTAGCACGGACCCGAGCAGCAGACGCAATAAAAAAATCAAACATCATCGCTAAGCGCAACGCTGACCGCCACCGCCGCCCCGTCACTTACCAGTCCGACGATCTTGTTCTACTGGATACCCAGAACCTACGCTTGCCCTTTACCCCAAAGCTCCGCCCCCAATATTGCGGGCCATTTCGGATCAGCCACATGATCACCCCCGTCACCGCCCATCTCCTCCCCCCTGCTAACTGGTACGTCAACCAGTCATTCCATGCCAGCCTGCTTCGCTCATACGTGCCATCCACCAGCCAACTGCCTCGCAACCGCCCAGCCAGCATGACAAGACCACCAACAGAGCCAATCATCACGCCCGAAAAGATACTGAGCCACCGAGTTCACGACCCACGTGGGGCCCGCAGGATCTAATTTCTGATTCGTTGGAAAAACCGCGCACCGACAGAAGACAACTGGGTGGCCTTGGATAGTGTTACAATCTGAAGTGGGACTTAACGAAACAAGGATCGTTCAGGGTTGATCGCAGGTAGTGTTGCAGCGGAAGTAGTGAACTCAGGTCAGAGTGAATGTAAAATGACTGAGATGATAATAGCATGCATACATAGGGTTTATATAGAAATACAAAGGAATGCGAAACGACCTAGACTAGCCATGTACTCTAAGGGGTACATTCCCTTATTGCAGCGAAATTCAAACCGTGCGGCGCGGGAGTCAGTTTCAAACCTGTTCCCGCTCTTTTCATTTCAAATGTCTCTGCCTGCATCGGTCTCGCAAAGGCGGTTGCTGTGTCGCTTCGATTCTTCTGACTCCTCGTCTTCGTACTCGGTAGAGTCGGCTCC